GAAGGAAAAGTATACATCAATGATGATACTACGAATAAAGAGAGAGAAATTCAGAAAACAATTAGAAAACTTGCGCAAGAAGAAAAGGAGAGAGGAAAGGATGTAAGACTTGGTGGTTATAAAATATGGATCAACAAGGTCGGCTGGAAATGGGACAACAAAGAGAACAAACTAGTCAAAATTGGGACAAAAAAACCAGTAAATAAATGTGCCGGAAATACTATGACAAACCAGGCAATGCCAACGGACATGAATAGTTATAGAATAGGTAGTAAAGACAAAGATAGATCTATAAATAATGAACAAGGACGTGAGCAACGAGAGACAAGAAAGGGTAAACCCATAAAAATGCAGTCAGCAACGAGCGAGAATATAAACAGTAACTATGTAAAACCCGCATTAAACAAGAAAGAGCTTAATGACATGGCCCACAATAACGGAGCAGTGCTAAAGCCCAAAGGATGGACATTAGCAACGTGGAATGTCAGAGGTCTCAACGGCAAAGAAGTCGAACTTGCTGAAGAATTTGAGAAAAATCAAATAGACTTATTTTTGGCACTTTGACTTAGACAAGGGGCAGGCCAATGAACACATGGGATGATAATGTTACCTCAATCCTAGAGACACGAGGAATCAGCAAAGAATAAGAAGCAATGGAGGAAAATTGTACATGCAACTAACTGAAGACATTACACCCGACACCTTAGGGTAAATGGGTTTATGATTATATATATATATATATATTATATATATATATATATATATATATATATATATATATATATATATATATATATATATAAGTAATCTTTGTCCTCTTGTCAGCATGTGTCCTAATCTTCAAACATTAGCTTGTATATACATAACAGTTTGTATAACATAAGGGTCAGAAGAGTAAGAAGGTTTTCGATAGAGTCAGGCATGAACAAATGATGGAATTGCTGAAGATGATAGTGGATGACGGAAGAGACTTAAAATAATAGCTAAACTGTATTAGAATCAATCAGCGGTGCCCCGAATAGTTGGAGAATATTCAGATTAGGTCAAAATATTAGGGTGGTGAGACAGGGTTGCATAATTTCAAAACTGATCTTCAATCTGTACTAAGAGCACATTTTTGAAGAGGCACTAAAAGATATTGATGAAGGCTTCTCAATAAATGGAGTCAAGCTCAATAACCTGCGGTATGCAGATGACACAATAGTGTTTTCCAATACCATACTTCAACACTTAATGAACAAAAAATCGAAAAGAAGTAGAACATTATGAACTGCATATAAAAACCAGCAAAACCAAGCTAATGATCATCGGCAAGGAAAACATAACTGGACAAATCTGTATGTCAACCAAATGAGAATTGAACGTGTCTCACAGTACAAGTACTTGGGAACTATAATCAATGAGTCGTGGGGCAATACCCAAGATATTAAATGTCACATCGGAAAGGCAAAAGTGCATTCTTGACTTGAGCTCTGTGTTCAAAAGCCATGACCTCACCATAGAAACAAAATCTCCAAGTCTTCCGATTCCAATCTCCATCTCATTCTATCGTTCCATATATCGTCCTCCAGATCTTTTTTCCTGATTTCTTTATCAACTCCTTCTCTCCAACTTCTTCTAGGCCTTCCTGGTCTCCGCCTACCTCTTAGTTGCCATTCAAGAATTTGTCTTGGTATTCTATTCTCCGGTATTCTCCTTACGTGTCCGTACCATCTGAGTTGTGTCGTTTTGATGTCATCAACAATATTATGTGTAACCCCGATACTTCCTCGGACTCTCTCGTTTGTTATTCTGTCGTGTCTAGAGATTCACGCCGAGCGGCGCCAGAAGTTCATTTCTGTTGCTCTAAGTATTTTTTCTGCTCTGTCTTTTAGGGGATACACTTCGCATCCATACGTTGTGATACTTTTTGTACTTGTGCTTCTGTACGGAGTAGAAACGTGGACATTGAAGGCGAAAACTATATCAAAACTTCAGGCTTTTGAGCTATGGTTATACAGAAGGATCCTGAAGATACCATGGATAGACAACCAATGAAGAAATACTGCGGAGGATGAACACAACCGCGGATTTGGTCAACATCGTGAAGGGCCGTAATCTGCAGTACTTAAGACATATAATGAGAAATCAAGGCAGATATGAGCTCTACTCCAATGCATTTTGCAAGGTAAAATTGAAGAAAAAAGGGCCGAAGGACGAAGAAGAATATCCTGGCTATAGTTTATTTTTATGAACGAGAGAGTAATTAGCATAATTTTAACTGGTACCTCCGACCACTCCATGGGCGTGCTCAAGATTAATTGAAAAATTACTTTGAATAATTGTAAAAAATAAATGAATTATTTCAGTGTTATAAAGTGTTATGTGTATGTAAACAAAAGTGACCTCTTTTATCACACACTATATTAGAACTGACTGGCCTACATTAAAAAGGGTTTTAAAAAATTCACATTTTTTTTAATTTTTAAAAATTACAAAAGAGAAAAAGAGTTTTTAAAACCGTCTAAGGTATGTTAAATAGATGAATAAAAATATTAATATAAAACTTACAGCTACTTGTTAAAAATCCAAATCAGATTCAGAAGATGAACTTTCAGAACCAAGATTTATAATAACTGGCTCCATCATTTTATCAGTAATATTGTCCAGCTTCCACATTTTTTCCTCTTCTTTAATAGTGTGATTTACTGCCTTTTCCCAGTTTTAAGGTTTTACATTATTTACGGCCTCCAAAAACAACTGTTTAACATCATGAATTTTAAAAGTGGTATTTTTTTCTTGAAACTTCACTCTTTATCTGTGCCCATACCAGCTCAATCGGGTTTAATTCACAATGATATGGTGGGGATCTAAGTACTGTCATTCCACGATTTTTGGCAATTTCATCAATTTCGTATTTTTTAAATTTTTCTTTATGAAGGGCACACAACGAATAAAGTTCCTTTCTTATAGATCCGGGATGGTACGTAATATTTTTTGAACTCAGCCAATTCTGCAAGTCTTTTTTTAAACCACTTGGTTGTGGGCAGTCCTTCTATAAGTCTGGAGTGATAACTTGCAATATCCATTACTATTACACAGTTCTTAGGAAGAAGATCTATCATTTGTTCGAACCATTCTTGAAAGACATCAGCGTTCATGTCTTCATGGTAGTCACCGGTACGAGTTGATTCAAAAGTTTAATAAACCACCTTCAACAAAACCGTCTGAACTGCCAATGTGTACTATTATCAGCCTGCGTCCCTTTCCTGATGGTGGGTTTAAACCAGTAGATAAGTTTATTTACAAAAGCGTGCCTTTGACTTGTAACAGTTTCATCCTGCCAAAATTTATTTGGTGTATGACCCTCGTTGATCCATGTTTCATCAAGATAAAATATTTTTATTTTTGGTTTCTCATTTCCTTTATGGTTCTTAGAAAATGTCTTCTCCATATGACATATCGCTTCTTTCTAATAAAATAGACTTTCTGGGATTTTTTTCCAGCGGAAGCCTATTTCTTTTAAAAGTTTCCATAACGTACTTCGACTCATTTCTGGGTAATCCTTATCATCTCGAACTGAGACAAGAACTTTATCCAATGTTGGAAATTCTTGTCTAAAGAAGAATTCATGCACTTTCCGTCGAAGTCCTTCTTTAAAATGATATTCTATTTGAAATTTTGGTTTCCCTGGAGCATATACGTGGCATTTGAAAACTACCACATTTCTCTTCTTTAATAACTCTGTAAATCGTAGATTTCCCAACACCAAGTGTACTGCTAACTAACTCAACGGTCTCATCAACACTTTCAGATAAACGTTTGTCTGTAAATGATTTAAAACAATTAAATATTAATGTTTTTTCATAAACTGTTTAAAGGACCAATTTTTCGACGTTTACACGGCACTTCCAAATTTTCCATAACACTAGTATACACAATAAACTGCACCTTGCAACTGAAGTACCTACTTTTAGTGAACTGTTAAGAATTTGAATACGCCACTTGGACCTTCCTACAAAATGGAAAAACCCACTATCACATTTTCCGTGGAATAAGTTTAGAAGGTAATTATCTAGTCAATTACTGTCGTAGATTCCTGGAATTAAAGAATTAAATGTTTGATTGTTGAAACCCTTACTTCGTGGAATGCACTCATTTCAGATAAAATAAAACGTTTTATTTTATCTAAAGAATTAAACTTTATTTTGCAAATAGGTAGGTACTTATTAAACTTTTATTGGTTATATATAACCAATAAAATAAACATCTTTACATTTCTTGCAAATTCATTAGTACCTGTTAACCTCCATCACTCCGACACTGGCAACCTTATTTAGGGATTAGTAACCCTCACAACTATTGTATTCTATTCTGCTCCAACCTTTATAACCTGGTGGTCATACTCAATTTAAAATTGTTTTCCTATATACTTCTGTAAAACTTGTTGACAAATATCTGTTTTTCATTGAGTCACCCGTATCAACAGTTTAGGGATTTGCATACATAATTTATTGTTTTATTACTATCTCATACATAAAAATACACTATAGCTAACCTGAGAGCATATTATAGAAAGACCTCAACACAGCTATTCCGTATTAGCAAACCAACAAAGTCATCATAGCCAGAATGATCGCCAACGTTCGGAACAGGCAGGCACCCTAAGAAAAAGACGTAACATGTCCAATTAAATCATGTCCAACGGTTACCGTGGAAGTAATCCTTGATATTGGAGATAAAGGTGTCTGGGTTATACGCAATAAGGGAAACGAAAATGAAAAACGATTAGTCAAGAAATATATACGAACACAATTTTTTATGGCATTATTTCGATAATCGAGATATAAACCGAGGAGTCCAACAAGGATGCGTCTTGGCTCTGCTCCCATTTAAATATATTAAAAAAAAACAAAACAATCTAATAATCTAAGAAGCAAGTATTTTAGTAGTAGTATTTAATTTTTTTGTACATTGTAACTATTTCGGTCATTTCTGATTGATTTTTTCTGTTGTTTCAGCTGGAATCATGGTTCAAAACGAGCACTACGAAAAGGCCAGCGGGGCAAAGGCCCACCTCCACGCTGGCAGCACGTCCCAATTCGGAGATAGATACAGGAGACGCTGACGACGAAGATTTAAAACTTATTGACGTCATGAGCGAGAAAGAAGTTAATGCTAAGATCGAGGAGTTATTGGTGAGTAGATACAAATTTTTAGTATTAAAAGACGAAAACAAATAGGCTCTACGATTAGAGTTGAAGAAATTCGCATTTTAACAAAGAAAATGAAATTTTTTCTCACAAGGAACATTTCATATTTCAAGGGTGCCCCTTAAATAACTGAAGACTCAAAAAGAGACGTTTGAATACCGATTTTTAGATCAAATATTGCTTGTCTTCCAAATAGACGTTAAAATTGAAAAAACTGTGTTGACCGATTTTTTTTATTACTCCGTATAATTTTCTTACTTTAGGTAAAATGTTTTTTGTATCATGAGATATACCTGTTAGTAAAACATTTATTATTTTAAATTTACCAGTGGCGTACAATATAGGTAAGCGACACCATTTTTTAACAAAGTTTTTACGGATGTTCTTCCTCACGCAAAAACTTTCTTCTTTATACGAGATTGGGACCGACAATGATAGTTACCGAGCTACTCAATTCATCCAGCAATAACGCCAGCTTGACATTAACAGAAAATTCCGTTCGAAAGTAATTTTCCTCTTGAAATAATTTAATTTTTCCAAGTCAGTTAATCATTGTTCCGCCAGTTATTAACACGACTCTAAAAGCCTTCGGTATGTGAATATTTCCAGTAATATTAAATATCTCATAAAAATAACGCAAAATAAATTATATTTTAACTTTATGGAAACTTTATATAAAATGGGTAAAATAGTTTATAGAACACATTTATCGAGCAGAGAAATAAGTAGAATTCCCATGCCATTACATTTTCTTTTCCATTCTTTTACCATTGGGAATCCCTCTCAATGACGCGACTACACTGTACACCTTATGTTTCGCTGATGACCAAATACTGATTGCCCAGGATCATGACGACTTGAGTTACATGACTCGAAAGCTAATAGAAGAATATAACAAATGGGGTCTCGAAGTCAACATTAAGAAAACTGAAGCCATGTGTCTTGGAGGGACAAAGCAGTCCATTATATGAGACGATGGGGTAGAAATTAGAAACTGTGATGAATACAAGTACTTGGGTATGAAGATAACTCAAGATGGAATACTCGATGCTGCTATAAAAGACAGAAACATACAGGGTAGAAAAGCCATATCCATGATGAACGGCATTCTGTGGGACCAAACAATATCTAAAGCGAACAAACAACTCATATACAACACCATACTTAAAAGTGTAATCACATATGGCAGTGAAGTTTGGAGAATGAAACAAAGAACGGAGAAACTGTTACTAGCAACAGAAATGGACTTCTGGAGAACAGCAGCAGGCAAATCAAGAAGAGATCGGATACCAAATGAGAGAATACGAGAAATGATGGGAGTCAAGCATACAATAGTTGATGACATAAAAAACAAAACACTTAATATGGTACGGCCATGTACAGAGAATGCCAGATGACAGGATTCCAAAACAGATTTTGACGTGGACACCACAAGGGAGAAGGAAAAGAGGAAGACCGAGAAGAAGCTGGAGAGAGGGAATTGAAAAAGAACTAGAGGAAAGAGAAATCCCTCCAGGCCTATGGTTGAATAGAGAAGAATGGCGGTTAAGACGCGGAAGGCGTCGGAGAACACTGTAAACCGATAGTAGTAGTAGAAATATGTAGAAGATTCTACTCTACATCCTATAGCCTATAGCGGAGAGAAAAGGGGAAAAAGATTTTTATAAATGATTGAAAAATTTAAGTCCATATAACAACATTTCCAGACTACGTCTTGATTTTAAAATACAGTAATTAAACGAATTATTATGACAACAACTCTCTTGTCGTAAATGATTTAACGATCATTGCTGCGTGTGCGTTGTTGAAGACTAGCAATTAAATGGGTAATTATGTAAAATGTATAAATATTTGTTCACGCTATCACTGTTAACACTGATAAATATATTTCAGGCTTGGAAAATATTACTAAGTTATAAGATTTTCTGTAATATGTTTACAATTTTTAGAGTCTTATAAATATAGACTAATTCAGCGTTCTAAATGTTTTGACGAAAAAAGAACATGGTTATTGTACAGTATTTTCCCTTTTGTAAAAGAATAAAATAATATAAATTAAAATAAATAAGATTAAAATGAAATAAAATAGAATAATGGAATCGAATAGAATCTAATCGAATGCAATCGAATGAAATCGAATCGAATTAATTGGAATCAATTCTAATCGACTGGAATCAAATCGAATCAAATCGAATTGAATCAAATCGGATAGAATCGAATGCAGTCGAATGGAATGGAATCGAATGAACTCTAATCTAATGGAATCGAATGGAATAGAATTGGATCGAATTGAATCGAACGGAATAGAATTGAATCGAGTTAAATGGAATTGATTTGAATTGAATTTGATTAAAATTAAATTAAATTAAAACCATCGCTTCATGCGTGTCGATAATAAAGCTATGCTTATCCTCCTCGGTCCTTCTCGGAGTACCACATCCCGATTTTTATCACTAGTTCTTACAACTTCAACTATTTTATCTTTCATTTAACTATCAGCACTTATACCAACTCCATTCCAACTGACACATTCTCCCACAGTTTGTATCTCTTTTAAGCTCATTTCTAAATGTGCCTATCTTCTAGAGTTGTTGGCGACCACATTGACCCATCTTATTCTATTCACAGCAGCTCGAAATAGATCAGTTGACGTTAGACCAGTTTACTTACATTTGTCCGTCAGCCATGCTTTTTTTTTGCTATCTTCTTTAGCAGGGGTGTCCAACTTGCAATGTCTCAATGGCCAAAACTAAAACCTTGTAAAACTGATGTTGTCGGCGGGCCATATAATAATTTTGTTACAAGTAATAACAAAATAAAGTGAGGTATAAAAATAATTAAAACAAAAAAGAGTATTATTATTTTATTGCGCAACAACTACATTTTTTATAAACGGAAAATTTATTGATAACACTTTTCAATAATCAAGACAAACATTGCAAAAGCAACGAAAATTTTCAGTCCAGAATCTCGCAGGTTTGGGGAATTTTTCCTTTGACAGTAATTTAAAAAAATTCAGGCCCTTTTCTTGTCTGGCGATTAGGAACATGTCTGCTTGAAGATCACATAACTCAATCTGTAAGTTGGGTGGTTGATTATCAATGGTTGCTCCAAGGGGGTTATTATAAAGTAGTACACTGCTTTAGAGACTTTAAATTTTCTTCAAACCTTGTATTGAATTCATCAATAACTTGTTCAATTTGTCAAATGCAGGATGAAAACTCAATATTTTCCTCACCGTTGAATTCTTCTGCTATTTGCAGAGAGCTACTGAAGTGTGTCAGGTTGTTCTTTTCCAAAGCGCGTTTAAACACGTTCAGCTTATTCCGGAATCCGTTTATCATTGGACAGATTGGATTCTGTCTTTTATTTCTTCAGTGACATCGTTGTCAACTGTGATTACAGAGTGCGTAATCACAGAGGCGTACTATTGTAACGAACTATTTTGCTTACCTCAGGGTAAGAACATGGGGTAGAAGATTGGGCAAACAAAATAATCGAAACTAGTGCGTACGGCACTCAAGGGGTTGTAGAAGAGCTGGGTCGTGGATAAGTTGAATAAAATTGGTCGATTGGGGTATCTACAAATGAAAAAAAGAGATACTTACATAAATCTCCTGGGTCAAAAACGAAATAAGATATGGCAGACAAGGTTACCTCTAGCTATTTCTGTTTGGACGCCGCTTTGGAAGAAAACTTCCTGCTGGGAGAAAAAAAAAATTCTTCTTCTAAGACGTGAATGGGTCGAATCAAGCAGGTAAAACAAAAAAAACGGCGGCGGTGAGGACATCCTGATATATTAATCTTCAAAAATTCCATTAATTTCCGGTACATCTGCATAAATCTTTTGGTTGATACTCTGTTTAAGATGCTATTAATGCAAAAGAGTATTAAAACCTTACCGGTCTTAAGACATTACACCAACAAAAAATGAACCAACTATTGATTCCAAATTGCCCCAACTTTCTCGTCTAAATGCTCTAGCTTGACCTCATCATTCGGTTGATTTAGCTTGACTGCCCACTCGAATGCTCTTGCTTGACTGCCTTACTGCGTTACATTCTACAAAATCGACGCCACAATCCATTTCCCCTCCGCATCTTGCAGCTAGTTTTGCCTACAAACTTAAACAAACAAATATTACCCTCCATCGTCCCTACGAACTACACAAAACATCTTTATTTTTACTGATATATAACAGAAAGTTGGAGATTTGAATGTAAACACAGACAAAACATCCATATTTACTTTTGAATCGTAGAAATATACGTATTATATTGATTATTTTAAGCGGAATAATTTTATACTGAGAATGTAACAGAAACAAAACATCTATATTTTTGCCTTATCTCGTCCAAAAAAACTTGAAATATTCTAGTTCGAATATCAAAATTTAAAACATACATTTAACTTCTCCGCGAAATATAAAAAAAAACTTGCTACAACTTGAGATAAACACCAGGGGCGTACTACAAAGATTTAACACCGAATTTATATTATTATATAGACATTAAACATAAAACGCATACACTATGAACTATTAATAAATAAATATGTTAGGGGCGTATTAAGATATGTTACACGCTGCAACACATATATTACTCTTATTCTACTTAGAGATAAGTTTATGTGACATCAATTTCTATTTTACAGAGTGACATGAACCTCAACGACGACAAAAAGAAACCCCTTAGAGACATGCCGATGGAACAGAAACGTGCAATGTTAAAGATGCAGAACAAAAAGAAAGGACAACACGACACGGGCAGTCGATTCAACGATCCCGAAGATTATTACAGATATCTGGATCAACACATTAACCCGGAGTATTTACAGCTGAACAAATGTCTGAACTGCGTCGAAAGCTTGAGGGTGGCCTTGACTAACAATCCAGTCAGTTGGGTGGAGAAGTTTGGGACTATAGGAGGTTTACAGAAACTTGAACAAGTATTAGATACGGGAATAAGAAAGTAAGTACAGATAATTATTGGTGTAGCTATTACTTACAGCTATTTGGTGGTCAGTAATTAACTATATGAACCACCGAGTTCAGTTTCCTAAAGCTTTAAGAGTACTATTGCGTAGCTATTACAGTTTTTTACGATTTTCCTAAACTTTTTTGCTTCTATTTGACCTGGAATATTCTCCCACTAGGCAGAACTAAGTGCCTCTTTTCTGGGATATCGCTGAATCAATCTGGTCCGATAAACAGAGTGTCTACTTTAACAATATTATTATCAATCTCGGTACCACCAATTTCTTTATGTCATGCCAACGATAACAAATTTATTATATTGTTCTCCTCACAGCTGCGTAAAGTACTGTTTGTTAGAACTGGCTAGTTAAAATACTTTAATAACTGAAATATTTTTCTTAAGAAAGAAAATTTGGTTTACTGATTTATGTGGACTTACTATGAATAAATTTACCTTTAAAACCCTTATTTCAAGTATGTATTGGCAAATGAACGTTAATCATTGAAAATAATTATTGTTTTCAGTACTTGAATTGTGTTTGTGCTCTATAATGCGTTTTTAAATAGTCTCTCGGTCTGTCCTATGTACATTTTTTTAACAATAGCTACACGTTTATTAATAAATACCGCAATACGAATATTGCCTAGATTTTCTTTTAATATTTTTCGTATATGTGCATATATTGTTAATGTTGTTACCTAAAATACGTAAATAGAAGATTCAGCAACTTGATAATTAAAATTAAATAATTTTGTTAATGTAAAAGGTGTTTTCTAGATCTGTATATCAAAATTTTCACTTTCGTCGAAGCCTCCCCAAGGCAACATTCATTTTTTTGCTAACATGGAGGCTGAATTAGTTTGAGTACTTAGAAGTTTCAAACATGCCGCTGATGAAAACAACAATACACAACAAAACAATAAAAATATCGGTAAAACATACCGATTCGATCATTTATTAATTCTTTTTTTTGATTTTAGTAAAGATGTTCGACTTCAAACGGAATGTTTACGATGTTTGGAAAAATTCATGAACAATACGACGGGGCTTAAAGCTTTTTTCAAATTTTCGAAAGCGCATTTGACTGTTGCCAGATGCTTGGACCACGAAAAGCCTACTGTGATGCTACAAGCCTTAAAAGTGAGTATTTCAATTATCAATATTACATAATGTACCTAAAGCAAATTTCCAAAAAGTTATTTTTGTAACTTTTTTGCACAAGCAACTTTTCAATGGCCAACAGTTCTACTTTTATGTATTGTTTATTCTAAAGTTTTTCCATAACTGTTTCAGATGAAGTATATTTAAATTTTAGACATTTCTTTAGACCATTTTCTTTTTAGACTTTTACTAAGTTTAGAGTCATAATAACCAATATCTATCTAGTTTTAATGTTATTTTGCGTTGTTTTGTTAATTTAATTCTCTTTTATGTGGTTATTTCCTCATTGTTAGGTTTGTTTGTGCTAATGGTAAATACTAATGCTAATAATAAATAATTTTTCAGTTTTAATTAAACCTAACCTAACATAACCTCAAATTATCTATTATTTATCGAATATCTGTTTGTAGATCCTTGCTCCTCTGTGTATCTTGAACTTAGAAAAGAGTGGCGAAGAAGAAGGTGTAAAAAAGGTGCTTAGGGCTATTACCGAGGTGGGAGAGATAAATTCGAGGGAACGGTTTCTATCTGTGGTACTTGGAATCACTGCCAGCGATAACGCCGAATTACAGGTGAGTTGTATTTTTGTAAATTTCACACATCAAAAATTTCTAAGGAACACCATTATTATTCCACTTTTTTCAATACAAACTTAAAAACTTTTTTGTTAATACATACAATCGTACGATTAATTGCTTCAAATTATAAAGAAATGGAGCTTTTTCTTCTGAGATAGGCTGTATTTATTTTATTTATGAGAAAAAACTTTTGCTCCTTATAGCGGCTTCCCACGATAGGCAATTCTACAGATCAAGCGGACAGCCGATCAGCACGGCAACGCACCGCAGACAGAGCTCTTCTACGGTCCGTGACAGTCTGTGTAGGTCCGTGAACAGTAGTGTTTGATTATATCATAAAAAGGCCACTCAGGCTTGTAAACATCATCAAGCCCTACTACTTGTTCCCATCGATTCTCTAACTTTTGTTTTTTGCCTTCTGTATATCGACATTAAATTATCTCTCTTCTTTTTTAATTCTTTAATCGAAATAGTATATATCTTCAATTGATTTTTATTCGGTTCCATGCATCGTATGCATCGTTCCGGTTCTTATGTTCTGGCGCCGTGGAATTCCATAAACTTCGTTCATCTTGATACAAATTTAAAAAACTCAAAAACAACTTCGTTTGTCCATTCCATTTTTCAGTAAAAAACTGCAAAACAACTTTGACAATACTACAGACAACTACTCGTGTCAGCGAATGAACAAACTTTTGACTTGCACTTGTCGTCTGTTAAAACACAGACGCGCTAGGATCGCGTCGCACGAGCATGTACCGCACCTTTGATGTTACCGACTCTAGATTTATAAGGACGCACCAGCACGGACGTTGCCTGTGCTACCACGGACGAGACCCTTCCCACGGTGCGTGGTGCGTGCTGGTCCGCTTATACGTCCGCAATATCGCCGACCGTGGGAAGCCGCTATTAGACATTTTTTATGTGTTTATTTGTAAAATGATATTCGTTGTTAAATAATGTTTTATTGTAAGTTTTAATTATTTTTGAGAGAAGTGTTTCCTCTTAAATATACTCAGTGACATTAGTGTTACACTCTAAAGGAATAATTTCTTGAACTTCATTTTTGGCAACAGAATGACTATATTTAAAACATGCTATGATAACAATACTAATGTTTTAATCTTTTCTACTTTTTCTAAAAATACAGTTTTTCTTTATCTAATTTTTTTTCACAATGTTTAGTTATTATTCCTCAGTCTAATATTCCCAATATTCCATTGGGGGTAGAATGGCGTAATGTAGCATTCAGCGATGAATCAAGATTCTGTTTAGAGATGCAAGACGCCATCGTAGGATGGTAAGACGCCAGAGATATCGAGTTTGCTGTTAAGTGGCATATATACAGGATAGTTGGAGTGAATGGTGTGGGGGGCTATTGCCTATGGTAGCCGATCATCAGTTGTGTTTATTCGCAGCAATATGACAGCTGCGCGTTGTGCTAAAGACATCAAACCACTTTACTGCCTTGTCTCGACGGCCATCGAGACGTCCTTTTTCAGCACGACAACGAGCGTCCAAATATTGCTAGTCAAACTATGGACTTTCTCCAAGATGCTGGCGTTAATGTTTTGCCGTGACTGCCCCATGCTCTGGATTTAAATCCTATCGAACATGTATGGGATATGATGGGAAGGAGACTGTCCACTTTGCTCCATCCTTCACAGACTCTGGCACAGTTAATACATGAAGTTAGTTGCTTGGAGGAGTCACAAGCAGACATCAATCATCTCATTTTGTCAATGCCTAGACGTGTACTAGAGTGTATTCAGCTACCATGTTTCCAAACAATTAAGTTCAAGAAAGGATTCCTTCTGGGTGTCACTTCTAATAATGTCACTGAGTGTATATGAGGTGGCTGAAACTCAAGACATGACAGCCAATTTTACTGTAAATGGTATTGGTCAATTTTAAACAAAATATGGGACTATTTATGCTCTCATTAACGATGTCGAGACTGAACACGAGAAAAAAAAAACAGATAATGAGAATGCGTCAGTACACCGATATTTCAAACGCCTCCACATTTTTTGTTGTCTCCGTTAATGTCCATTTCACTGTCCCGTACATCATCATCATCATTCTGGCTTTACAGCTCTGCGTGAGTCCTAGTCTCCTCAAGAATTTCTCTCCAGTCGTACCAATACATAGCCTTTCTCCGCGAAGAACGAATTTCCATATTTCTCATGTCTTCATCGATGTTATCAGGGAATCTTGGTCTGGGTCTTCCTCTTCTTCTCTGACCGGTGCGTCTATCAAGAAGCGTTTTTATAGCTGGGTCATTTTCTTCGAGGGTCATCAGGTTTCTAGTATATTCTATAAAGTTCGAAGTTGTATTGTCTTCTCCACACTCCATTGTCATTCACTGTTCCATAGATTCGCCTTAGTACTTTTCTTTTGAAACATCCCAACATGTTTTCATTATTTTTTGTTATTATTATATGTTATGTTATATATTTTATTGTTATATATTGTATTTCTCGATTTAATTGTGGATTTGAGTAGGAGCTTAAGCCCAAAATAGCATCTGTTGACCGTGCAAATTCTGCGGTTTATCTCTCGGTGGTATTATTTTCAGTGTTAGGAGCGCTCCCAAGTATACAAATTCGTTCACTGCTTCGATGACGTTGTTTTCCATAAGCAGTGGTCGTAGGATTTGGGTTGCGTGCTTATTTTCATATACTTTGTTTTTTTGGTGTTGATTGTTAAACCAATTTTTGTAGCTGATTATTTTAATGCTATATACGCCTCTCGTACAGCGTTTTCTGTTCTCCCAACGATATTGATATCATCAGCATAAGCTAGGATTTGCACGGATTTATTATATATTGAACCAGTGGTTGTGATTTGTGACATACGTATTACTTTTTCCAGAGCCAGATTGAACAGTATACAGGAGAGGGAGAGTCCCTGGCGCAATCAGTTATTTGTTTTAAAAGGTTCAGACAGTTCCCCCTGAATTCCTACTCTACTTCAACTTTTTCAAGAGGTAGTTTTGTTAAATTTACCAATTTGATTTGGTATTCCTAGCTCTTTCATTGCTTTGAACATTTCTTTTCTGTTCACAGAGTTATAGGCTGCTTTGTAGTCTATAAATATGTGGTGAGTATCAATACCATATTTCAGTATTTTTTCAGGGTTGCAATCTGATGAATTGTCGATTTACCATCTCTGAAACCATCCTGGTATTTTACTACTATCCGTTCTGCATATGGTGCCATACAGTGACATAGTACTGTGGAAAATATTTTATACGCTGCATTTAGAAGCGTACTTCCTCTGTGGTTAGAGCATTCAAAGATACCTCCTTTTTGTGTATGGTGCAAAGTATTCCAATGTTCCAATCATTAGGAGAGGGATTTCTGTGTCCATATTTCTTTTATAAGCTGCTGTAATACCTTTATGGTATCGTAGCTACCTTCTTTATACAGTTCAGCTGAGAGATTATCTATTCCGGGTGATTTTTTTCTGACTAGTTACCACATTTAATCGCATCCTTAACTTCAAGAATCGTTGGTTCCTCTTCCCTCTCGTCTGCTCCCCTTACCTTATCTCTTTCGTCTTTCAGGTTTTCTTCTTCCTCTATATTAAGTGCCTGGTTAAAGTATTCCATCCATCTATTCAATACATCTTTTTTTGTTGTTGATAGGTTGCCATTCTGACTTCTGCGTTGTCTTGTGGTGGCCTTGAATTCTTTTCTATTGATGTTAACTTTCTTATAGAATGATCTGAATTCTGTCTCTCTGTTTAGGTTTTCTATATTTAATATAGAATAATATATATTTAAGTTCCTTATTTAGGTGGTTTCGTTTTTTTTTTCTTTTGTGTATCCTTTTACCACTTTGTCTGGTAATTCTCTACAGTCCTACGCTGTCCCATATAGCAAAATAGAAAATTCTAGACTATATTTCGATTGTTCTCATTTTAAATGAACAACTGTACCAAGGTATATGTATTAATCCACTTGCTGAATTAACTGTTTATTCATCAACATCCATTGGGTTTTAAAATCTTTGAAACTTGTGCTACAGCCACCAAATGCTGTATTCCTTATATACTGTTCACAAGAACTACTTTGTCATCAGCGTATATAATATGGTTTTAGTATTTCTTCATTAATCTTGATCCTTCTGCTAACTTCGCCTAAAGCTTTGCCTGAATAAATGTTAAAAAGTAGTGGGGATAGAATACATCCTTGCTGTACTTACTTCATAATTTCAGTACTTTCATTGAAAGAACTTAGTTGTACATTTTTGACTATTTTAATTAGTTGCTCATGCTTTACGTTGTCGAAAGCTTTAGAAAAATCCTCAAAGTATATTGTAAACATTCTTGTTCACGCATTTGCAGATTTTAATGAGTACTTGTAATTAGAACACTATTTCTCTTGTGTCCAGAGCC